AGGCAGGAGGATCACTTGAGCCCAGGAGTTTGAGGTTGCATTGAGCTAGGATGACACCACTGATCATTAGACCCAGGGCAACAGAGAGAGACTCAAAAAAAAAAAAAAAAAAAATGTCCCATAAGAGTCACTGGCTTAGGTTTGTTGTTGCTGTTTTTACTTTTAATTTGTTCTTAAGTCAAATTTCAAAAAGCAAAAACAGATTGTTTTTAGTGAAAAGAACATACTGGATTAAAAATTTGGTTTTCTGAAATGATCGCTTTGAAACAGATAGTACGAATTTAGCAATACACTTACTGGCAGTTTGTTTAAAATATATATTACTGTTTTTTTTTAATTATTTCAGCATACTATGGGGGTGCAGATGTTTAGGTTACATATGTTGCCCTTGCCCCCCCATATTACTGTTTTATAGTCATAATATTTCCACCAGGATCATACCCTTTGACACAGCAATTCCATATCTAGAACTCTATACCTTGCGAGTACACAAAGGCACATAAGTTTTTGTATAATAGATGCTCTGTTATGGTACGGAGTGCGAGAAGTGACCATTGAGAGACTGAATTGAGCCAAATTGTGAGTCTTTATTAGCTGGCCAGCGACCACCCTCTGCACTGCTGAGAGGCACCAGCACAGACAGCAGCCCCGAGCCAAAAAAGTGAGAAGGCTTTATACTAATTTGGGGGGGGGGCTACGTGACATTAAACACGACATAGTGGAACAAAAATAATTACATCATACATTCTATAGCCACGGGGTCTGGGACCTGCCTCAGACCACCTGCCTGGCCACGTGACTGATTACAATCTTTGAGCAAGCAAGGTCACAGAAGCAGATAGCATCAGTTAAGGCAGGGAGCATTCTTTCTTGGGTGAGGCAAGTACAGTAAATTTTACTACAGACAGCTGGGGCGCTTACACAATCAGTTACAAAGTCATTGCTTACAGAGTACAGATTTTTCTATTAAGGGTGAGGTTTACAAAGTACAAGCTTTTTACTCTATAGACAGGAATGAGTCTTGAAACAGCATTTTCATAACTTTTCATATTTTCGAGGCCTAATACTACAGTTCCTTGCAGCTTTATTTGAAATGGAAAAATAATGTAAATATCTGTCCGTGGAGAAATGGTTTAATAGAATACACACATTTGTTCTATTTAATACTACGTAGCTGTCTAAATAAAGGGTATTCTCCCAAATATGCTGGCATGGACCTATGGCCTTCTACAAACAGTGGGAAAAAGTAAGTTACAAAAGTATGTTACTGGCCGGGCGC